TGACCCTCCTGGCCTCCAGTGTCGTCAGGGGGGATTTCCTCAACCTTTCTTCGTAGGATAATCCCCGTATCTGGGGCTAGTCTTGTTGCAAACCTTTGCACTTTCCCCTAATTTCTTGACGTGCTTGACTAGGTGTGGATTCCAAAACTGGTGCTGCATACTCCAGTATGGGCCTGACGTAAATGGTATACAGGGTCTTGAACGACTCCTTACGAGGTATCGGAACGCTATCCTTTAGGTTTGCCAGGCGCCCGTATGCTGCAGCAGTTATCTGATTTATGTGCGCCTCAGGAGATATGCTCGGTGTTATACTCACCCCCAGATTTTTTTCCCTTTGGGAGTGAGGTTTGGCGTCTTTGGCCATCTAAACTATATTGTGTCTGCGGTCTTCCTTCCCCTTTCCCCCAATCTTCATGACTTTGGGCATTTGGCAGGGTTAAACTCAAGGAGCAGTTGCTGGACCAGGCTTGCAGCCTGTCCAGGTCTCTTTGTAGTCCTGCCTGATCCTCATCCGATTTGATTCTTCTCTTTAACTTCACATCATCTGCAAACAAGGACACTTCTGAGTCTATCCCTTCCGTTATGTCGTTCACATATACAAGAACAGCACAGGTCCTAGGATGACCCCTGTGGAACCCGCTTGTCACAAGCGCCCACTCTAAACACCTCGTCACGTACTGATCGTTGTTGCCTCCCTGTCAGGTATTCTCTGATCCATTGCAGTGCCTTTCCTGTTATGTGTCCCTGATCTTCTAGCTTTTTCAGTAACCTCTTGTGAGGAACTGTGTCGAAGGCCTTTTTGCAGTCCAAAAAAATGCAGTCGATCCACCCCCTCTCTCTTGTCTTACTTCTGTCACCTTGTCATAAAACTCTAGTAGGTTTGTGACACAGGATTTTCCTTCCCTGAAACCTTTGCTTGTTGTCAATTATACACTTGTTTCTTTCCAGGTGCTCCACCACTCTCCTCTTGATGATCTTCTCCATGACCTTGCATACTATACACGTTAGTTTATTACAGGTCTGTAGTTTAGTGCCTCATGTCTGTCTCCCTTTTTAAAAAATTGGGACTACATTTGCCATCTTTCCATACCTAGGGAGTTGCCCAGTTTCAAATGATGTGTTGAAGATCTTTGTTAATGGCACACACAATATCTCTGCTCCCTCTTTAAGGACCCACGGAGAGATGTTGTCTGGTCCCACCGCCTTTGAGGTGTCAAGTTCGCCCTAGCAGCTTCTTCACTTCCTCCTTGGTTATATGTACCTTTATCCAGCACTTGCTGGTGACCCCCCTGTTCTGATTTCCTGGAGTCTATGGTTTCCACTGTAAATTTTTCTTTAAATCCGTGTTGAGCTCCTGACATACCCCTCGGCGTTGCTTGTGAATTCCCCATCACCCTTCCTCATCTGATTACTGGTTTCCTTGACTGTTGTTTTCTCCTGATGTGGCTGTACAACAGCTTCGGGTCAGTCTTGACTTCGATGCTATGTCATTTTCATATTGTCGCTGAGCCTCCCCTTCCTTATCTGTGCCTATTCATTTCTGGCTCTTCGTCTAATCTCTTAAATTTCCGAGTTTCACTGTCTATCTGTACCTTTTCCATTCTCTAGTACACGTAGTTTTTGCCTTACCCGACAACCTTTGGGTGAACAAACTCGTTCTGTTTCTTTCCATTATTGCTGGTTCCCTTGGCGAACAAAACCTCTCCTCTGTCTCCCCTTGCATTTTGTTGCCACATTAGTCCATCATTACTTGTACTGGTTTTCCTGTCAGTTTCCCTCTCCCAACTGTATGTTTTGAAGGGAATTTCCTCAATGCCTGAGTAGTTCCCCCCTTCCCCCTTTTGTAGTTTGGTTTTTCCCCATCCTATTCCTGCTACTCTCTCCACTTTGGAGCTCAACTATGTAGTCGAAAGCACAGAACCACATGAATCACTTCACTACTCCCAGCGGGCCTTTCATACAAGAATATCCTCGATGTCGAACTACTCAAGGTGATATACAAGGTCCAGTCTTGCTGGTTCCAAATCTCTCCTCTCTCCCTGGTAGTGTGTCAACATGTTTGATCTGAGTTTTCCCCCCAGTTAACCTACCATCCTCATTTGGCTCTCCATGTTTCGGAACCACCCATGGGCTCTCAGGTTTTCCCAGTCAATCTCCTTGTGAATGAAATCCCCATAACTAGTAACTTTTGCTTCCCCCCACGGTGTGCTCTCCCTGGGCCACCCTCGGCTAGTGTGTCGACCATGGCTCTGTTGCTCTCATCGTATACTTCTCTTGGTCTCCTGCAGTTCTGGGTGGGTTGTACATTACTGCAATTATCAACCTTATGTCCCTCAGAAACTGGATTGTCCTACTTAGTAGTCCCTTTCACCCGTGCCATCCATTCCTTCCATTTCTTTCCTCAAAACCCCACTGGCTTTTAATGAGCAGTGCAACTCCCTCCTCCCCATTCCTCCCCCTCTCCTCCCTCCTGTCCTTATTCCTGAAGATATGATATCCGTGTGGAAAGAATTGAATCTGTTATTATTCTGTGCGTTTGTTTCTGTGAGTGCTAATTATTGTCTGGGGAGTCTCCTTGATTCTTTCGTGCCACTCCTCATACTTATTTGTATTCCATCTGCATAGATACCAATACCTTCAAACTTCTTTTCTAGACTGTGGCTGGAGGTGTATCTGGGGTTGGGGAAGTGGGAGACCTATAAGGAACTAATGGGTGGTTGCTGTGGGGGTGAGTTTAGTAATGTAGTGGTGGGGGCATTGGATATGGCATGGAGTTGTGGTTTAAGTGTTTGGGCCTGCACTGGGGTTTACCTGGTTGGGGAGGCGTGTCTATAGGAAGCTGTTGAGGTGAGTTTGAATTTGATCTTTCTCCCCGTGTCTAGGGGATCTCCTGTCTATCTTCATTCCATCCCCTACTCTTTCCTCCTTTCTCGCCTTTGTACCAGTCCTCTCTCAGTTTCCGCCTATCGTCATGTGTTCTGGTCGCGGGCGTGATACACCTTCCTGTATCCCGGCAGTCCCTTAACGTGCTTTTTCCTGCAGTACCCTGTTCCCGAGTCGATTCTGCCTTGAAGTCACTTTCACTGGCCGGTTTCTTTTTTTTTTACAAAACAACCCCTATTCTCACGAAAATTTTACACTGGGTCATGTCCGTCTTCCTCCGATTACTTTCAGGATGCTTTCATTGCTTTTTTTTTTCCCCATGTTTTTCTTTGCTTTCATATGTTTTTCCCCTTCAACTTCCTGTAGCCCATACACAAAGACTGACCTCACCCTTTTTCATACTCCCACTGCATATCACCTGTGTATCCCCTCATTCAATTTGATTTCCTCCATTGCAGCTTTCCTGCTTCATTTCCACTAGCCTTACTGTACATGGGCTCAGTGGCCTGTTCAATTTTTCCTTCTGGCTTTCCCTGGGCTCTGTTGTGGTCTTTAGGGCCTCCACATAAGCTTTAAGCTCTTTACATTTACTACAGTCTCCACTGATAGAGCTTCTACAATGCCAGTTTTGCTCCTCCTTTCCCCTACCATCCCCTTTATTGTGGCTGAGGTAGTGGTCTCCTGTTGTCAAATCCCATAATGTTCTTTAGTTTCTTTACTGTTTCAAGATTTCCAGTTCCTCTCTAAGCTCTGTATCCTGGCCTCTGCTGCTTTAGACTTTCATCACCTCCCACTTCCTGCTTTTCCATTCTATCCCTCTGCCATTCTCATGCATAAGTTTTCTTCTAGTTTCTTTTCCCATTCTTGTTCCCTTTTTGTGAGCTCTGCTGCCAAGCTTCCTTTCTTGCAGTTTCCCTCCTCCCTTGTCCCTTGGTTTTCTTGTTGCTCTCATGGCAACCCATTTTTTGTTTTATCCTTGATGTTTCAGATTGGGAAACCTATGTAATTCTGTATGTTAGGTAGTATTGTAAAGTCAGAGTGTGGGGGAAGAGGTAGAGGGAGGAACGGTGCTAAATGGAGAGTAGTGGGAGGGGGAGTGGAAGGAGAGTGAAGCAAGTGGGTAAGTATGGTGAGGGAGAGGTGGGGAGGGGAGGGTGAAAGAGGGAGAGTCGGTGGGGGAGGGGGGGATGTATGAGGTGAGTCTGGCAATATGTGGTGTGTTGTGTGTGTTTTGCGTGTGTGTGGTGGGTGTGTGGGGAGGGGTGGGTGTGTGTGGGTGGTGGGGGGGGTGTGGTGGGTGTGTGTGGGTGTGTGTGGTGTGTGGGTGTGTGTTTGTGTGTGTGTGTGGGGGTGTGTGGTGGGTGTGTGGGTGGGTGTGGTGGGGTGTGTGGGTGTGTGGGTGTGTGTGGGTGTGTGTGGGGGTGTGTGGGTGGGTGTGTGGTGTGGTGGGTGTGTGTGTGTGTGTGTGTGTGTGTGTGTGTGTGTACTCACCTATTTGTGGTTGCAGGGGTCGAGTCTTAGCTCCTGGCCCGCTTCTTCACATGATTGCTACTGGGTCCTCTCTCCCTGTGTGTGTATACTCGCCTAGTTGTACTCACCTAGTTGAGGTTGCAGGGTTCGATTCCAAGCTCCTGGCCCCGCCTCTTCACTGGTCGCTACTGTGTGTGTGTGTGTGTGTGTTTTGAGTGGTGTGTGTATAATGTGTGCGTATGTTTGTGTGTTCGTGTGTGTTGGGGGTTGTGAGGGGGCAAAGATGTGTGTGTGTGTGTACTCACCTATTTGTACTCACCTATTTGTGGTTGCAGGGTCGAGTCACAGCTCCTGGCCCCGCCTCTTCGCTGATTGCTACTAGGTCCTCTCTCTCCCTGCCCCATGAGCTCGATCATACCTGTGTGTGTGTGTGTGTGTGTGTGTGTGTGTGTGTACGTGTGTACGTGTGTACGTGTGTACGTGTGCATGTGTGCCCTCGGAGGTGGGAAGAGGGAGGGGGATACACTGGCAGAAGGGGATATAGGTGGGGGAGGAATATGCGTGTTGCAGGAGTGTGGAACTTCATCGTGGGTGTAGTGAAGGATGTAAGTATGTAGCAGCAGAGATGTCACTGGTGTGTGTTGCAGGAGCGTGGAACTTCATCGTGGGTGTAGTGAAGGATGCAAGTGTGTAACAGCAGAGATGTCACCAGTGTGTGTGCGTGATGGACCCATCACACTGTCTTACTACTCACCATGTCACGCTGGGTGTCCCCATCCCACCAACCAAGACAACCTCACCAACTGCACGTGAGTACCAGTAACATAGGTTTACGTGTCACTATAAACCCTAATACCCATATCTTCATGTTTTGTGTCATCTTGCTTACATATATAAACCTATATCATGTCCCAAACCTCCCATTTACATTTATTAAACTTAGCGCTCAACCAATCTAAACTTTATACATTATTAAGTAGTTTTAAATTCTAGTTATAAGGTATTAGATTATTATTATCCTGGGGAGTCCTACAGTATTATCTTAGAACACTCCAAATGCTGTACTTAATCCATAACTTTCCGTTAGTCTTACAATCCATGTCACTCAGTGTTGTAACCATTCATATTTTTTGGATATAAATATCTCCAATCTGTTACTTAATGATATTTTTTTATTATTTTAGGGAAGAATACATAATCAGACTTTCAGAAGTGGTCTAATACTTAGATATAGACGACTGAAACTTGGTGCTGCATCTGGAAAATGATGAAACCCCATGAAACTCTAATAATTAATATTTAAATATGTATTAAGAGTTGTTACCGTATGAGCAAATTGAACACTGAGTATACAGCTAGGCAATCTGCAGTATTATTTTTTAAGGCTAGTTTTAGCTGTATATTTATGCACCCTGACCCACATGGTTCAGGTGTGGAAAGCTTGTTCCCTTGTTCGTTTATTGAGAGCTTACTCAGAGGCGTCGCTAGGTTGGTGTCACCCGGGGCGAATCATTGGTGTCACCCCCCATGAAATCCAAGGGCGGGGGGATAGGGGTAATAAACTCCAGTTACATCACTGCTGCATGACCAGTTACATCATTGTTGCATGACCAGTTACATCACTGCTGCATGACCAGTTACATCACTGTTGCATGACCAGTTACATCACTGCTGCATGACCAGTTACATCACTGCTGCATGACCAGTTACATCACTGCTGCATGACCATTTTACATCACTGCTGCATGACCAGTTTACATCACTGTTGCAAAAACCAGTTACCCCAACTGCGGGCATGACCAGTTACATCACTGTTGCATGACCAGTTACATCACTTTTGCTGAACCAGTTACATCACTGCTGCATGACCAGTTACATCACTGCTGCATGACCAGTTACATCACTGCTGCATGACCAGTTACATCACTGTTCCATGATGACCAGTTACATCACTGTTGCATGACCAGTTTACATCACTGTTGCATGACCAGTTACATCATGCTGCATGACCAGTTACATCACTGCTGCATGACCAGTTACATCACTGTTGCATGACCAGTTTACATCACTGTTGCATGACCCAGTTACATCACTGCTGCATGACCAGTTACATCACTGTTTGCATGACCATAAACCCGAACTTATTAATGATTAAAATAAACAATCGTAGTAATAATTGAGGAAACATAAACTCAAATACCATTTTGAGTACAGGCAACAGATCCTTACCATTATTCATCTTCAACAATGAAAAAAAAGCTTGAAAAATAAATAAAAACACTAGTTCCGACTTAACCTAGTTACAGGTAACATCTCAAAGAATCGACATTTCATTTCCTTGCCTCAATCCTCAAAATCATCTATCATATAATCAAAATCATGTTTTCCCTATATAGGCCTATTTGTACTGTGTAATCCTATAATAGACATATAAAAACGAAAAATTTTTCTCTTAGGTTGCTGCACATGGCTTTTGGTCATTAGTGTTACCTCCTTTAGAGGCTCTAGGGATGTCACCCCTAAATGGTGTCACCCGGGGCGCCCCCCCCCACCTTACGACGCCTCTACAGTTATTTGCTATAATTTCCTAATGGTTTTTTTCCCTTACAAATGCATGAAAATATTAGTAATTCATAGGAATGAGGGAAGAGAATCACACTAAATCCATAGGGATCATACATCACCAGGAAAGTCAGATTCGATCCTGTGTACCGTACCAGTCTCAAGTGTTATTTACAATTAAAGAGCTCCCTACTTGTTCCAAAGTATGCCTTGCACAAAGGATCTACAATAATATAGTTTTTGTACTGCAGGTGTGGAAGTGCAGCTGCCCCAGATAACTCGGGATACTGCCGGACAAGTGTTCAATTTTTTGTCTGTACAATGTGGTTAACTGCATCACCAAGTCTCTTCTCTCAGTAACCATCATCGGCAGCCTCCTCATTACACTAAGGTAAAAACCTTGCAACACTCGTATAACAATCATGTTCTCGCCTTTATCTCTGCAGAATCCTCATATGTTTATGGACTGGTGGCATCGTCATCAGTTAAAAACATCTTGTCATTTCGATCTCAGTCATGTAAAGAACTTGCTAGTGGACATTTTGCAGCTGATTATTATATTTAGAGGCAAGAATTGCTCTATGGTCCATGAAAGTTTTGTACAACATGATAACTCGGGGGAAAATGATGAACCCGTGTGGGTCATAGTGCTCAGTTTGATGAAAAGGATGGGGTTCGATTCTTTGGATCAGGAGCCTCCATCACCACAGCAAGGATAGATAGATTTTGCCACCGAAGTGGCTAGTTTATTGTGCCCCTATATCCATCCTGTGGACAGTAGCGCGAGAGCATATGGATACACAAAAGGCCTAGGAACTAGGGCCCCCAAAAGGGTTAACAGGAATACATATGGATTTATATCTACATATCTAATAGTTCACTTATCTGTTACAAGCAAATTTAGGAAATTTGCTTAGTATGTCTGGTATCCTTATTTTCATTAATAAGATATCTTGACATGTCACATAGGTTATTATACTGCTGTCTCGTTTCTTCAATAAGTGGACAATTAAGCACATAGTGGTTCAAGGGCCAGTGACCCCTATGCCTGATCACATAATTTACATTTAGTTTGATCATCATCTGTGTGTCTCCCAAATTGCCAGAAGTACTTGTAACCAAGCCTAAGCCTGGCCACTACAAAATCAGTCCCGTCCTTCACATTGCACCCTTGCTTCCATAAACCTACTTATCTACGTTTCATGTTTACCATAGTGGGTTATAGATCTACTCAGGCTTTTTAACTGCATTCCTATAAACAATATTTTCATTATTTACTTCTCTCCTAATATTATTCCTAATGCTAGACACAGTTTATACCAAAGTTATATTCTACATTCTCTTTCTGGGGACTCTTCTTGGCTTTAAAATATCAACTTTATGAACATTAAAAGGGTAAAAAATACCGACAGGGGTTGGGTAAGACACATATCAACATTAGGATCTTTATTTCAAAACTTTTTCCCCTCACAGTAGCTTCTTCAGTCGAGTACAGAAAAGTTGAAGAAGAAGAAGATACTTAAAAACGAGAAATCAGTCCATCCCCCTTAAATTTTGAGGTGGCGCCCCTCAGTCGGAGAAGGTATTGTTCCATAGTCTGAAACAATATGGAGTTGAAGTGTAGATAATGTTTCCCAAGCCCTAGCCTGGCAGGGGCTAAATTTTGCGATGCCCCGTCTCGGGCCCCCGAGGGAGAAATTTTTCTACAGTGATCGACGTATCGCTCAAGCACCTTCTGGTCAGTTCAACTGGGCATCTCATAAGCGAAAACCCAAATATTACCCAAACTGGGACACTAGCGAGGAGGGGAAGTCGTTATCACAGGTAACAGTTTCGGGTTTTCTTTTACTCCATGGTATATAGTGGGGCCCGCGCTCCTGGTCCTCTTCGGGGGGGAATATCATCCTAGTTGCCTGCGGAGTGTCTCGAAAATCGAAAATTCCGAAGAAGTGTGTTGGGGGCCGCGGGAAAAACGTGCTGACAGTCGGGCACATCTCCCCCTCAGCCTTGTCACCATCTCGGGCTGTGAGAAACCCCAAACGAAGCGATGGATGGGGGTACACGTGCTCTGGACCACTTTATCATAGGGGGGGTTTCTCCTTGACCGCTGCTCGGTCCACTGTTGAGAGGGGTTCACCTAGAACCCCCCCCATAAGTTTCTGGCCCTTGGCACCCACCATTTTGGTCTGTCGAGCTGTTTGGGACAGAAAACCCAACGTGGATAGCTGTTGCTCCCTTGGCTGCTCTCGCCGCCTCTTTCCCCGGATGCCACTGGCGGGGGTCCAGTTCAATGTCGATCTGTTACCCTAAACTTCTAAGGCTGCATTATGCCGGGATCGATGTAGGGGTAAATTGCCGTGGTTGGGTGGGAGGGGCTTGGGTTGCAGGGGTGGAATCAACTGTATGACAGTTCGGAACATGTGTGGGGCAGGACAATGCCTGTAAATCGCCACCAGCTCGCTGAAGGATCGTGCAGTGGCCCAGGATTCCCAGCCTTGTGTGTGACCATTGTGGTAACGCCCAGCTGCTGCTCTTTTCCCTTCAGGGTAAGAACCATTGTGAAATCCACTGCACATGTGCCCCCCTCTGCCATCCAGTTTGCTCAGCATGATTGGGGAGGTACTTGACTGCAGAGACGCTTAGAGATGGGTACTGCATGATGCAAACATCGGTGGATCTGGGTGCCAGGGAGGTGGTGGAGGGTACCCAGCAACGGGAAAGGTCAAACTTTTTCCAAGGAGTAGTTGTATAGGCGCAGCTTCCCCCACGCAAAAAAACGAACGAATCCAGGAGAGTCCGTGAAGAGTGGGGGATCTTGTGCCAGGGTTGTCAGTACCCTCTCCTTGGTGGGGGACCTTGTTCCCGGGTGCAAAATTGTGGCCACTTTGCAGGCGTTTATGTATCTTACTCTGTCAACCAAGGAAGGAAGCCGGGCCTCAGATTGAGACTACTGTGTTGGTCCAGATGGGGGCCCCAAGCATAGTTTTTATCGCCGTTTTTTGTACGACCTCCACCCTTTGCCTGCTCTGTGGGAAAATGAGCTAACCCCGGGTGCCCCTACAATGAGCGACTTTAGTTTGTATAATACAAGCGAAACATCTTTGCGCCCCCGCAGGTCCCTCGTCAGGGCTCTCTGGCTTTGAGTCGAGTAGAGCACGGCCCTGACATACTCACCCGTTTCGAAAGGTCAGCTTTTTATAAAGTAATTCCCAAGTAAGGTAGGAGCCTGTCCCTAAAAGTTCTAATC